ACTTTTGCCAATACCTGGTAACATTAATTTTTAAAATTTTTGAAAATTAAAAACCCCTGCGATCCTATTGTTGTTTTAATCAGCGATTCCCTGACCACGGGTGAGTTAAGCATCTCTGCATTGTCTCTCTTTGAAGTGCCTATTTACGTGTTAAGATGATATCCCTTTGGTGTATATACAGCATGTGTCATCTATCTTCTGTTGCTTTTCTCACAGAGGGTTTTAGTTCTTTTTTTCTAAACTATGCATATTGTTTTTCCTTTATAACTTTTATGTTTCCTACTTTACTTAAGAAGGCCCTCCCCACCCCATATTACATAAATACTCCTATATTTTTGTGTAATGCTTTCATAATTTTGTTTTTTAACTTTAGCCCTGTTTTTCATCTGCCATGTATTTTTATACATAATGTGAAGTAGGAGTCAAAGGTCTCCAGTATCATTTATTATATAATACATTTCTTCCTACTGCCCTGGGTGACATCCACAGTAGTCAGTTCCTGGGCTCAGCTCCCTCTTAGAGCCACTTGCTTTGTGTCCTGTGAAAGTTGTTGAATCTCTCTGTGCCTCAATCCCCACAATCTGTAAAGTGGACAGAATAATAGTACTACATCATAGGGTTTTTGAGAGAACTAAATAGGTCAAACCATGAAAACACACAGGTTATTATTTGGAATATAGAAAGCACACAGTAGGTATTAGCTAGTTTTGTATTATATTCACATATTTCCTTGGGTTGGATTCTGGACTTCGTGTATTAGTCTATTTTTTCACTCTATAGCCCAGCACCCTTTTTTTTATGATCATAACTTTCTAATATATGTTAACAGCTGCTTTGTTATTTCACTGTTCCTTTTAAAGATTTTCATCATGAGAATTGCTTTGAATTACACATGAATTGTGTTATGTGCTAGCATTTTAGTGATCATCATGCTTTCCATCTGAGAACTCAATCTCTTCCTTCAATAGAATTTCTAGTTTTACTCATGCAGGTCTTTCTCCTTTCAAGTTACTTTATAACCAGGTAAATTATAGCCTGCACAACTTTGAGTGGGATATTTTTCTGTTTATAAATAAATATTGCTAGGATAAACTACTCATTTTTAAAAATATTAACCTTGTACTGACACCTTACTAAACTCCTTTATTGGCAGTAATCATTTTAAAGTATATTTTATTGATTATGTTATTACACTTGTCCCAGTTTTCCCCCCTTTGTCCCCCTCCACCCAGTACCTCCCTTCCCTCCAGCAATTATCCTCTTAGTTCATGTCTGTGGGTCATGCATACAAGTTCTTTGGCTTCTACTTTTCCTATACTATTCTTAACATGCCCCTGTCTATTTTGTACCCACCAATTTTGCTTTTTAATCCCTGCACCTTCTCCCCCATTCTCCCTCTTCCCCCACCCAGCTGATAACCTTCTAAATGATCTCCATACCTATGATTCTTTTCCTGTTCTAGTTGTTTGCTTAGTTTGTTTGTTTGTTTGTTTTAGATTCAGTTGTTGATAGTTGTGAATTTGTTGTCTTTTTAATGTTCATAGTTTTGATCTTCTTTTCCTTAAATAAGTCCCTTTAACATTTCATGTGATGATGGCTTGGTGATGATGAATTCCTTTAACTTTACCTTGTCTTGGAAGCACTTTACTTTCCATTTTAAATGATAGCTTTGCTTGGTAGAGTAATCTAGGTTGTAGGTTCTTGCTTTTCATCACTCTGAATATTTCTTGCGAGTACCTTCTTGTCTCCAAAGTTTCTTTTGAGAAATCAGCTGATAATCTTAAGGGAGCTCCTTTGTAAGTAACTTTCTGCTTTTCTCTTGCTGCTTTTAAGATTCTCTCTTTATCTTTAACCTTTGGCATTTAATTATGATATGTCTTGGTGTGGTCTTTTTGGGTCTAAATTGTTTGGGAACCTCTATGCTTCCTGGACTTGTATGTCTATTTCCTTTGCCAAATTAGGGAAGCTGTCTTTCATTATTTTTTCAAATAAGTTTTCACTTTCTTGCTCTTCCTCTTCTCCTTCTGGCATCCATATGATTTGGATGTTGACACATTTGGAGATGTTCCAGAGTCTTCTTATACTGTCCTTCTTGGGGTTTTTTTTGTTTGTTTGTTTTTTAATTCTTGTTTCTTCATTCTGTTCTGGTTGAATGTTTATTCCTTCCTTATGTTCCAAGTCATTGATTGGAATCCTGGCTTCCTTCCCTTCACTCTTGGTTTCCTGTAGATTTTTCTTTATTTCACTTAGTGTAAACTTCATCTCTTCCTTTATGTTGTTGCCATACTCAATGAGCTCTTTGAGCATCCTGATCACCAGTGTTTTGAACCCTGCATCTGGTAGGTTGGCTATCTTTGTTTCGTTTCATTCTTTTTCTTGGGTTTTGCTGTGTTCTTTCATTTGTGCCATATTTCTTTGTCTCTTCATTTTGGGAGCCTCCTTGTGTTTGTTTTTGTGTTTTAAATAGAGCTGCTTGACTCTCTGTAAAGAGCACCTATAAATTGCGTGGGGTGGGCCCTTAGGTAATCACCAGGGTAGGGCAACCCACTTCACCACTTTGTGACTTTGTATAGGGGGAGGGCTCAGAGAAGTGGCTGTGCCTCTGCCTGGCTCCTGGGAGTTTTCCTGGCCTTTGTCCCATTTCCAATCACTTCACCCACTCCCCATATGTTACTGGTGCCCTTCCAGCTGTTGTCTTGGTGCTGAATCTCAGAGTGGGTAGGTCTGTGTACATTTTAAGACCCTGCGGGCCCTTTAAGCAGAGCCTCCTGAAAATCCAGCAGTTTCTTCCACCAACCCAACTCCCAGTGGTTTTTACCGCCAGAAGTTATGAGGGTTTACCTTTCCAGCACTGGAACCCTGGGATGTGCGGGATCACCCGCTCAAGGTATCCCTCCCGATCTTTATCCACCATGTGAATACGGGACTGCCCATGCCCATTCCGCCGCTGCCCTCGACTCTCCGTGCCACGCCGCATCTCCTTGCCTCTCCAGTCCATCTCTGCATCCCCGCCCCTCCTACCCATCTGGATAAATGTGCTTCTTTAAATCCTTGGTTGTATTTCCATACAGTTTTATTTTCTGACAGTTCTGGATGTTATATGTTTTGAAATTTAGTTTTAATTTCTTTACATGGTTATGCAAGGAGGCAAAGGATGTCTACCTACACCTCCATCTAGACCAGAAGTCAGAACTTGTTTGGCACTAATCATTTTTTAATGAGTCTTTTTAGTTACCTAATTATTTGATCATATTATTTGATGATAATTTTGTCTTTTATTTTCCACTATTTATTCCACTGGTTCTTTTTTCTTATAGCATGTCTGAAATTTCCCAAACCAAGTAATAGTAGTAATCATGAACATTCTCTCTGGGTCTTGATTTTTGAGGAAATACCTTTGATATTTTTGTCTGTTTATTTAAAATTATACTTGTTCTGGTTTTCAGATGGCCATTCTTTATGTTCCTATATTTAGGAACAACTTGGTTCATTATAATATCATTTTTGTCTGGCTGAACTTGTTCAGTTAACTTCCTCGGAAAAGGTATGTGCTTATCCCCAACAGCCCTCTCACACTCTCTTGCCCTCACCAATTATTTAACTGATATAACAGGCTTAGATGATGATCTTAAAAAAAAAAATCTGTAAACACTTTACACTGTCTTCTCACTTTCAGTATGGCAAATAAAAAAAACTAATGATAATTTGATTATTTTTCTCCTCCCAGAAGCTTTCTTCTCTCCTAGCCTTCCTCTTCCCTCCTTCCTCCCTCCTTAACTCCTCATCTTGCTCCCTCCTTCTCTCTCTCTCTCTTCTCTCTTTTTTTTCTCTCTCTCTCACACACACATATTCTTCACTCTTTAACAGTTTGAAAATCAATCAGTATATATGTAGGTATGCATTTTTTCTTTTTCTTTTCTGCCTAGGCTTTACTCAGAAAGCTGAGAAATATAAGGTGCTGTACAACATAAAATGTTTTTCAGAAATGTATTTGCTCTGAGAGTGATCATATCTAGGTGTCGTTTACTTATGATCCTGATAAGAGGCTTACTTGGCAAACAGAACTTCACACAAAACAGTAGAGGCTTTTGTGACCAAAAATCTCAATACTTTTACTTTCCTCTCATAAGAGAGATTTAAAATGAAGGAGATTTAAGAATATAAATAGAAAAGCTGAAATCTCAGAATATAAATTTTGCTTTGTAAATAAATATAAGATCATTCTCCCTGCACTTAAGAAACTGACAGAGTTTGTTTTGTTTTTGCTCTAAACAAAGAGAAAAGTAAAATTTAAAACAACAAAACATAAATGTCAAGTGCTGTGGGTTTAGCTTCAACGACACCAGAATCCAAAAACTTTGGTTGAATAAAGCACATGGTCCTTTGTTAGGGGGAGCTATTATGATGATAAGAAGCTCTAAACCTGCTACTGGCAGCTATCTGTGCCAGACGGAAGCAGAAGCCGCCTTGTGTACCCTACTGCTCAGGCATAATAAGTGTCCCTTCCCCCTGCCGTACCCTCACCCCGCACCACCACCACACAGAGTTCAGAATACATTGACCAAGATGATGGGACACTGACGTCATGGTGGGCAGACTTCACCGTACGTAACCTCAGTGACCAGCAAGGCAGTTCTGTGCTAAGGGAGAACATTGAGAGACATTGCTGTTCAGTGTCACCTCAAATAAATTAGGCCTTCTGATGCTTACTTTTTCATTTCTTTTTACACAGTGATACACATCTACCTTTCACTATCCCTCTGCTATAAGCTCAGTCTCAGGTTGAGGGGGCCTCACACCTCCCGCTGTAGTACTCAAAGAATTGCACAGTGAGCTACCACAGGACCTTGGGAGGGGTCCCAACACCTCTGTGGATGCACAGTCAACTGTAATATATTGCCCTGATGGCAGGCACATCCTCAGACTACACAGACAACCTTCACACTGAGGTGCTGATCCAAAGGCATTAACCCATTTTTCTTCTCCTTTTGTACGCTCAGATGGATGGAATGGAGCCCTGGATTCCCATTGAGTATTGATGCCAAATGCCACAAGGATTTACCTCGCGATATCCAGTTTGATAGTGAGAAGGGAGTGGACTTTGTTCTGAACTACTCTAAAGCGTAAGTTTAGGAGAACTTAAGGACATTGGGCAGCGCCTCCCATGGCCAGGGCTGCACTCCTCACTCCTTTCCTCATGGGGCCCATGAGCTTAGGGGGCAGCTCAGCCAAGCTCTTTTTTTCAAATGCTTTTAATTATGCCTTGACTATAGAGTAGATTCTTAATGCACCATCACAGCATATCTTGTATGTAAAAAAACTTACAACCTGGAAGCCACCAGATACCAAACATAGCTATGTTTCACCTCAGTGTGGAAGTCTATACTTGGAATTCATTCCTACCCACATCTTATCCCCTCTATGGCCACTTCAAGGGGAAACAGTATGCAGGTTGTCACCTAGATGGCAGGGCTCTCCAGTGATAATGGCCACCATGGCTGTGCTGATCCCTGGCATGCATTCCCTGTCCCCATTTGTCCATCACAACATAGTAATTATCCCCATTTGTAAATGAGGAACCTGAGGAATAAGAAAGTCAAATACCTGGGTCAAGATCCCTGCTAATGAATGGCAGAGATCAAAGTGTTGTGCTTCCTCTTTGAGGCTGAATTACTGCAGGGTTTTTAAAGCTTTCTGAACCCTGAGACTCCTGGGTACTTGTTAAAAACATGGAGGCCCAGCCCTACTCTAGAGCTAGTAGAAGGACCTTGGAATCTGTACCTTGACACTTTAGAGAACTCTCACAAGCATGAAAATCCAGAAAACCCTAAATCCTCATTCTGCTACCTGATGGAGATAGAATGCCCTGAGGAGCTTCTGCACATTCTGGCCCCAGAGCCAGAAACTGAGTCTGCCCCAGAGTAGAACTGTGGCCCATGGCGGGCATATCCAGGAAGCAACCAGGTAGAGAACCACCAACCCAGTCAGTTTCAGTGACAACATTCGCTTAGATGCAGAGCTGCTCCCCTAAAGAAGAGTGCCTTATTTGTTTGGACTTCTGAAAGGAAAGTGCAGGAGACCACACACCCAGGACTGTGCCAAGGCTTTCCTCCTTTGGACATTTTGGAAGAACTGTACACACATACACACAGCCTCACAATAATTCTCTTCAGGAAATCCCCTCACATCAGAAAGACCATGTGCATTTGTCTCCCTAAAGCTGCATCTAAGTGGTAGCTGCATTTGCAGTAATAAGGGCCTGACTTAACAAGCTTCTGCTAAATGCCAAACTCCCTGGTGTGGGGGCTTTCTACATAGAATTATCTATTTTAACCTTCACAGCAACCTTGGGAAGTAGGTACTGTGTTTCCAGATGAGTAAACTGAGATTCTACTAGGTCCAGGTCAAATAACTTGCCTAAAATTATTTAGGCAGAAATTGGCAAAACCAGCCTTTGAATCCAGATCCATCTGGGTCCAAAGCTGGGGACTTCCCCTACCACTTTCACTACAATTGGGATCAGCTACAGGGAAAATTAAAACCAAATGCCTGGGTTAGTAATGCAGCAGTACCCAACATCTGGCTCCCTGGAAGCATCATGGCAATTAAATGTCTTATTCCCACCCAGATATTGGCATTGTTGAGTCAAAGGCATATGGCTTTAGTAGGGTAGAGCTCAGACCAAAATTAGATAAGCAGAACAGAAGACCCCTTGACGGGACAAGAAAATGATAAAGATAGAGAGGCAGTGAGGTCAGAGGAGAATATACTGCTTTAGGGGATAGTGACTCCTTGTTTGGTAATGGTGTAAGGCTGGATGGTAGATGGATGAATGGAGGGTAGATGGATTGTGGAGGGTGGATGAATGGTGGAGTGATGGATGGTGGTGGGACATGGCGAGACATGGAAGGATGGATGGATGGATGGATGGATGGATGGATGGATGGATGGATGGTAAAGGGAGGGAGAGATAAATAGATATGCAGATGGATGAATGGATGGATGGATGGATGGATGAGGAATGAAGACCAGGCTATCCCTTTCTTGTGTCTTCTCAGTGTTCTGAAGGTCATTGTTGTCTTTGTATATTGGGAGCCTAGCACAGCAGTTCCCACACACTAGGTGCTGAGTATACTTTGTCAAAATAAAATGAGTGTAACCCAACTGACCTCTCAGGGGCCTTTGTTGCCACCTCATAGACCCTCACTTCACACATGCACACAAACACAATTACCATTCCTTCTCATGTATCCCCATCATAGCTAATGGTATCCCAGATCAGCGGTTCACAATTCTGATTGTGCATTTAATAATGCAGATTCCATGCTACCTCACCCTCCCTCATCCTGCTATATCTAGACCTGCCAGGATCTTCCAGTCTGGGCATAGGTATATTTTAAAAGCTCCCTAGGGAATGTCAGTGTGCAGCCAGGTTTGAAGCTACTGGCCTAGATTCCTTCCTTAGTCTTAACACTCCACCCAGTTGCATGTGGGGTCAAGCCCATCTCCTGGGGTCTCACTGCACATATCTTCCTCTCTCAGCTCCACCATCTCTCCCTGGGATGTTCAGAAACATCTTTCTACCTGCTTCTCTGAGCTCCATCCCACATAGCAATCGAAGATTATTCTCAAGTGGACATAAAGTTTGTTGGAGAGTCCATGTAGAAAAGCAAAATATATCTCTTTCAGTCCCCTATCTGAACCTTTCAGTGACTGACCCAACTGAAAGCAAGAGCCCAGGTATATCCACCCAGCTCCCCCTCTTCTATTCTTCCCCTACTTGCAGAAGACATTCCAGCCATAAGCATCCAGACTGGTTTGCCAGGAAACGTCATTTCCCTTTGTCTTTGCCCACACTGTTTCTTCTGCCTCAAATTCCCGCCCCCCATTCTTCTTTGCCCAGATAAGTCCAACTCATCATTTTTCAGGACTTGGATGAGGTGCTTCTCCTTTCAGAAACTCCTAGAAGCCCTGGGCCTGAGTGATGTCTTCTCCCTTGTGCTCCCCTGGATTGGCTGCACAGGCTACCATCTCTAAAGTGACACTATAGACCATTTTTCTTTACATCTTTTGTGTCACTTGGCTCCTTGAGCTGTAGAGCCCTAGTAACATGGAAGGCATCTGAGATGGGCCCTCAGCCTCCCCTGGCACAGCACAAGTACAGTGGCCAGCTCAGCGCTACCTCTGTTGGCACAATGAACTGAGTAGCGTTCATGGAGTCCTAAGGAAGAGATGAGACATGATCTCTGCATTTGAGGGTGTGTGTGTGTGTGTGTGTGTGTGTGTGTGTGTGTGTGTGTGTGTGTGAAGCCTGAGTCAATGGGGCTTTACCTCAAGGAAGCAGCTCAGAAAAACCACCTCCACCCTGGGGAGATGAGGGGTACCTGGAAGAGGGACCTGGCTAGTAGAAGGTGGTCCTAGGGAAACTAACTTCTCTCAGCCTTGGTGTTTTTATCTAAAAACAAGACCACAGCTCTTACTTGGAGTTTTTGTGAGAATATAGTGTGCATTATATACTACATATTTCAACCATGCACAAGGAAGCTTCTCTCTAAAGACAGTGTTAGTCTTCCTCCATTCTTGGTAAAGTAGTCATGCCAGGTAGGACCCACTTCTCCATCATCACTCACCTGCTAAGCACCTACAGATTGGCCTCTGCCCTCACTCTGTCAGGTGTCATCTCATTGTGGGATCCAGGAAGGCTTCACAGCAGAATTCTGTCTGGCCTGGCCCTGCTGCTGGCCAAGCAGGCACAGAGAAGTGGGACAAGGATGCTGGGGCAGAGAGAGCCACCATATGCTAAATTCAGACATGACAAGGCCTGCTCATAGAACCAGATGAGCTGTGAAATTTCCTGATGGCATAAGAGGAGAGCATCTTACATGTTTACTCACTACTCACTGCAGTCTGGAGCTTGATTGCAGGAGGTTGGAATATGGATAAGGCAATGTCCTCTTTAAAGGAAGTTGAAAAAGAGAGCTTCCTTCCTAGTAGAGTAGGACAGTGCAGAAATGTGACTGAATTTTGGGAGAGCTGACCAGCCTCATGCAAGGATCAGGGTGCTCAGACCCTCACCCACTGTGCATTTTTCATCAGATGACATTGAATGGGGGTAGCCCCTTGAAGGGATATTCTTCTCTTGGGGCACAGAGGCACCTGACCCATACCCCAGTCATCTTCCTGGAAAGAAAGCATCAGAAATGCTGTCATGAGCCACCGTTGACCACTAAAAGCCTAGATTTGCAATGTTCAATGGAAGATGAGAAGATGTGTGGGGAATTAGAGCTGCATTGTGGAAGCTTTACCTGGCAGCCTTCAGGGCCAAATGAGAGAGCCCAGAGTGGGGAAGAAGATGACTGAAGACAAGGAACAGGAGAGCAGGGATGTGGTATGGACAGACCCAGGATCCAGTTTCAATTCAGGTCACAGTCGGGAGAGGCTGAGGGGAGAACCCAAGCATACTTGATATTGTGCATCTGGCTTGTAGGAAAAGTAGATGGTTCTTACAAGGGAAGCTGAGAAAGAAGAGGTTTGGAGGGAAAGATGAATCCTGTTAGGGGGCATGTTAAGCTCAAGAGGCCTGTGTAGCTTCTGCTGGCAATGTTTGGTGGGCAGTGGGAAATGCAGTCTTGGGGCTGTGCAGAAAAGCCTTAAGAGAGCATTAAGGCCAAGCGAGGTCAGGAGCCCTACAAGGGACAGGGGAAAGAGGCCAAGGGTGAGATAGAGGCTTGGTTGTTGAGGGGGTGGGGGCAGGAAGAGGAGTGTGAGTGTGGCTTGACAGCAGTAATTCCCCTCAACCTCTGCTCCCAGCCATGCACACCAGCCACCCAGTGCTTGTCTGAGATGAAACAAAATTATCATGCATATGGCAACTCTTTGAAAGAAGCTGGTGGTGACAGGAAGGAAAGAGCTGGCCCCTAGGATGAAGAAGAGCAGGGGCGTAGAGAGAGGAGATGAAATCACAAAGGATGGGACAGAGTAGCAAGAGCTGATGGAGATGGAAGCAGGCTGGTGAAATCTGGGGGTGGAGCCCTCAAGTTAGAAACAAGCAAGAGAGGGTAAGATAAAAGAATGGAGAGGGACGGATGTTGAGAGAGTTCATTCTCTTAGCTTTGGAGTCCAA